CAAATTTAAATGGTAGGAGAAACAGTATTATTATTATTTATTTTTTTCTAAGAACAAGAGCTTGTTAAGAACAATTAGAAATGCCATCTATTTCATTTAGACTATAATCTAAAAATATTTTCCAAAAAAGAAAAAAAAATCATTTATTTTTCAGTTTTACAAAACAGTGATCTCGTTATTCATGTTATCAATTGAAATACCTAGGTTACAATGAAATATACTTCTGAGGTTAATTTAGTAAAATTTTAAGAAAGCTAATTAAAATATAAAAAACACCTGCAAGAAGGGATTTTTTTAATTAGCATTTTTTCAAATAATGCAGAGACAGGGCTTCTTAGAAAAAGAATAACCTTGAAAGTTGACCTCGACAGAACTAAATATACCAAATTCATTTAGTTGTAGGACTTTAGAAAAAGCAAAGCTAAAGTGGAAGTCTTCATTCTGAGTCATAGCCAACCAAACATATTAAGAGCATTTCTATTAAGAGTGGTTTAATTCACTAGTTTGTAAAAGATATATTTTTGTTAACGCTGACAGAAGGTTGCATCTTAAAAACAGGTAATTGAATGCTGCACATCTTACTATAAGAGAAAAAAAAGTTGTAACAAAAAGGAAGATAGACCTACCTTTCTTGATAATCTTAAACTTTGCAGGACAAAAAAATATAACTGGAAAAGTTTACCAAGCAAAAATTAATGCTAATTATAAGTATTACTTTTTGGAAGCTAAAGTTTACTTGCAATATGTATTTCAGGACATTCTTTAAAAGGTCACAAAAGACTCCCATAATTTACAGTATTTTCTCTCCATTTTTTTTTTTTTTTTACCATCCAACAATAATGCTTTTAAGAAATGGAAGTCATTGGACTTTGATCACAAAAACAGCAGAGCTTCCCGATTCCGTTTTAAATATCTATTCTAATTTAAATATTTTGGGAGAGTATTGAAGAAAAAGCAAAAACAAAGAAAACCACCCTTACATTTTTATCACAGTTGATGTAAAGCCCCCTAAGAACTAATCACAGTTTGTGCCCTGATCTGAATTTAATCTTCCGCTGAGGCTTTTAACTGTGGTAGTGTGTTCAACTGCTATTAAAGCAAAATGATGCAATGCAACGACTGACATCATTCACTGCACATAATGCTCTGTGCATCTGAATTTTGCATGACTGAGAGTAAGTTGTGGGGAAAATATTAATTTGTTCATGCAAAACAAGAATCAGCATACGAATAAGCTAAATGTTAGTCGCTCACAGGCATATCCATCACCACGGGATCCCAAAGGGAACTGTTGTTCCCTGCCGTGAAGAGGCTGAAAATATCCATTCACTCTCCAAGATGCTTAGCCCATTTCAGGGTAGCAATAGGGGGGAGGCAGACTCCTGGCCCTCCCATTCAGCAGCAGCTCTCCAAAAGCCTCAACGAGAGATTTCGAGCTGTTTGAAGACCAGCAGGGAGATAAAATTCCACCCACAAGGCTAAACGGGAGGCACACTAAGCTTGTGGTGGTGGGGGACACATTAGGTGCTGCACAATGTAAGCTAACTCCTGGAGTCCGCTCTACCTAGTCTACTCCAAGCTCAGTCTTATTATTAGCCTGTGGTATCACGTTTTCGCATAATAACATGGGAAAACACATTATAAACATTGAGTCCTGTTTTATAAACACCATTAAGGCTGTAATGTTAAGTCTTTATAAAACTTAAAAGAAGACAGAATCATATTGGATTTACCTAACACCGTTTATTCATCTATTCTCTCTAACCACTTAATAATCTGTATGGTTGCTTGGCTGGAGCCAGGCCCGGTTGCCTCTGGGTGTGAGGCAGGGTACATCCTGCATAGCTTGCCAGAGAGTTATGAAGAGAGCCATCAACGATTGCACACGTTTATACCAAAAAGCTTTTCAGAGGGACCAATTTACCAATACTTGAAAAGCTAAAGCCAGAAAGACTCCAAACGAGATTTGTACACTGCATCCTTCAGTGAGGCAACTAGGCCTGTCACAATAACAAATTTTGCTGTACGATAAATTGTCCCTTATTGTGATAAATGATAAAATTGTTGTTTTGAGACCATTTTCAAGTCATATAATGGTAAAAGTGGCATAAAAATGCAAGAGCACGTTCTCAAATATCAGTAAATTTCAAATTCTAATGAACATTTAAACTCTGGAACTTGAAGACAAAAAAAAGAAAGAGTTGAGACCAATTTGCCACCCTGACTACCTGTATCGTTCAGTTTTTGGTGAAAAGAGAGAGATAAAGAAAAAAACAATAAATCAAGCAAATCAAAATTATTTAATTATTATATGCTTCCAGTCGGTTGCAAACTCCGCATGTCTTCCGTTTGGCTGAATCTTGGTAAACTACGACGCCGTTAGGAGTGACATAAAGCTTTCATTGAGCAAACTGCGGGCCGATAACAGTAAAAGTGTTGGTCAACTGCCTAAAAAGCAAGGTGATGTGTTTTGAAAAATTAAACAGTCTAAGCACATTGCCAAAGAGTCCTGTTCAGAAGCCCTGTACTGAGCTGAAAAGGTCACACAGGGGGGTTGAGAGGGTGGGGGTGGATTGATGTACACATAAATGCAAACCTCTTCATCTGGACAGCAGTGGCTTGCGGTGCAGAACCACTGTTTGCAACCAGCATGCAATTTCTTTTTTATTTCTGTCTGCAAGTTATCTGCTACCTAAAATCAGACTAACCTGCTAGCGTGCTAAAGAGTTCCTCCACCTAAATTCTCTCTTTTTGACACAATCACTTCCTATTCCTGAGACGCACAAAATTACCCTCCAGTGCTTACAAAGCATCTCCCTTGCTGGCTCTTTTTTATTATTTTTTTTTCATTCTTTTTGAAACCAGGTCTTAAAAAGAGACAAATCTGCACACACTGAGAAAAGACCCTCATATGCCAATTTTTATCTGCCTGCACCATTTTCTGTTCTTTTTTTACTCAGGCACTGTAGGATTTATAGAGAAAATGTCACAGCCACAAGTTAAATGAAGCATTTTTGAAACACAAGCAAATACATGAGCGAGTACTGGCATCAATTCACACCATGGTTTTAAAGCTTAAAGCTATAGCTGTCTAAATCGAATGACTTATCATCCCTACTGTTTCAAGGAAATGCAGGAGAAAGTGTCAATGTTTTCAGTTTGCAGCATTCTGTGGAAGCATACAGTTTTACAGCCCTGACCTTCCTCTACCCAATGATGGCAATGTAGCAGTGCAGGCAGATAGGCGTCACAATGCCATTAAGAGCTTTAAAAAGAAATATATACATTTCAAATGAATCCTAAAATATATGGACAGTAAGTGCAGGTAGGTAAAAATAGAAGAAATGTGCTCAAACCTTTGAGCAACTAAAAAGCGTGCAGCAGCAGTCTGCACCCATGGGAGCTGAGAGATACAGGAACCACTGATTCCTTTATAAAGTGTGTTGCAGTAATCCGGGCTGAGTAGCAACAAAGGCATGGATTACAACTCGGAAATGCTGCTGTGAAATAATTGGTTTTATTTTTGCCAGTTCCTTTCAATGAAAAAAAAGCTGGACTCGACAGCTGCTCCGGTGTGACTTTTATTTTTACTTTAGACCAGCATCCACTTTGACACATGGGTTTGTTTCTGAGCTGACACATTGGGCCAGGGCACCAACGTCAACATAGGGGTCTCAGTAGCACTTCCAAACACCATCAAATCACTCTCTCTTTTTTTTTTTGTCATTGGACTCGAAGAAGTTCACATCTATCCAAAGTTTTTCCATGATCCAGACATGAAAACCGATCATTCCTGTGGTCAACTGCCAAAAGCAGCTACAGGCAAAAAGACAATTCAATCACTGGAGTCAGTAGCTAATAAACATTTGAAACTTTCAAAAGGGCTGATTCTGTACTTTCTAAAGATATAATTCATCCAAAATCCAAAAATAATTATTAATTTAATCTATGTTCAACCAAAAGCTGTGAAGAAAGCCATTCAGAGGGTACTTCATCAAAGACAAAGACGAAACTGGCCACTTGGAAATATATTTAGTCTAAAATAAAAAAAACAAAAACAAAGAAAAACTAAAAATGAAAAGCTGGACCATCATGATGTGGAAGCTAAAAGTCAGTCCATCACTTTTATTTAGGGAAATAAATTTAAAAGTTTTGGAAAGCTACATGGGACATTTCAGTTACCAACAGATATTTTACCAACAGATAATTTTGAATAAAGTAGAGTAAGTAGATCATGTTATGCATGCTGGCTTACCTTCCCACGTTTACATAAGAACAGAAGCGGTGTGACATATTTTCAAACAGCAGAAACAACAAATGACATCTAGGAAAAATAGGACAGAGCACTATGGGGGTAAAAGGTAGGAATCATAGGTAACTTTAAGCTAAAGAGGTAACGGCATACTGTGTGATACAGTTAAGGTGAAAGTAGAGTTGTCGAGTATTCAAATGACAGCTTAAAGAGCTTTCTTTAAGCATTTCAATTACAATCTCCAGCCACTTAGAATATTAATAGAAACACAGGTGCAGGGGCTACGGGCAAATGGAAATGTCTTGAGGTCTTTTTGTTTGATGCCTCTCCTCTCTCTTGTCACGGGGGAATAACTCACCAAAGAGCAACGTGACCTTTAGTAAGTTTGCACCCAAAGAAAGCAGTATAATGTGCCAGAATGGCAGCATCAACACATGTGACAAGTATAGACATAATGATAAAAATGGCACCACATGCAGGAGTGTGAAAAAAAAAAAGAAAGTCCAAAACAGGCAGCACGGTTCAAACTGCGCCAGCTTTCTTGCCAGAAGACAGTGACATTGCATCAAAACCTGAAAGTCATTTTTGCAGCACTCTGCCATATGCCTGTAAGAAAATCTGTTGTGTTGGAAAATCTGCTAGATCAAAATCTCTAGCACCAGAAACTTGATAATGACCCCTGGTAATGGCATTATTAGCCTCATTCAATGTCCCGCAGAGTGCATCAGGCAATGCATCGGCAACTTACCGGGTCTTTAGCTTGCTGCGCTAACACGGCGTAGGTGGATATCCTGCTGCAGAGGCATTTGGTGTGGACAGTGTTTGATGCTAGCGTTTGGCAGCCTTCTGTGCCCCAGTTTTCTGTGCCAGCTTCCCTGGAGGTAGAGAACAGGGAGGGGTTTGGGGCAGAAGGGGGAAGTGGGGTTGGGTGGGATATCATATAGGAAAGAGACAGTGACAATGAGACAATCGTGAAACTGGAACATGACAATGCGTGTGTTTCAGTTGTGAAAGTTTCAGTCGGGCGACACTCTTTATCACGTAGGCCCTCAAATGTAATACCTTTACACAGCACCATTTAATGATTGACCCATTTACAATGACACTTCCATTCTCTCTGTTTGTATTGAATGCATAGGGAATACTTTTTGTTTTGCTCTTGACTGCTTTTACACTTCCTTCTACATCTTTGTTCATCCTTTTCATTTCATACCTTAAGGTCCACAATAAACTGAATTGATCTGAAATTGAATTGAGGCCTTGAGGAGAAATATGTTACATCAGTTGACAAAAAAAACAACCATAAAAACAAAACAAAACAAAACAAAAAAAACTATGCACTGAGATCAACACTAAACGGTCAATTGCTTTGACAGACAGACACTTTCTGAGGCAGGTACACAGAAACAACCCTAATAGAACGTTGTACATTTGATAACTTTGCTTCTCTTCCTTTTATTTTCTACATCACAATTTTTACTTCATTGTAAATGCTCCTCACAGCATGTAAAATGTAGAGTTTGATCAATAAGGCCGTCACTGAACTAATTATCCTCAAAGTTCACATTTCACGCTGACCTTATGTTGAACCCTGGATATTCCCTGTTTCTACCCATCAGGTTGGAAACAAAATTGGAGGCAAAGACAAGACTGGGTCAATGGGGCCTTGGTTCTTATGTTACAGTAACATTTTCTCACAGTTTACTTTTCTTCTTGATTTTTTTTGCAAGCTGAAGTAGATCAGACCTGTGGCAGATGTTTGACCACCAATCAAATCTGCTCCAGTTACATGCAAAAATCAATTCACAGGGCTTTGGAAAATACTTTTACCTGTTGAACCTTTTCACTTAATGTCAAGCTGTATCCACAGACTTTATTGCACTTCATTAGAATGTAATATAATAGAATAAAGTTGAATAATTTTGAAAAAAACAAAAACAAAAGAAAATTGGAAAAGTTTGAAATGCATTGTCATTATGCCTCATTTACTGTTATGCCCCTTACTAAAATTTAAAGATAGCAATTAGTTTAGAAAATCCATCTTTGTGTGATTTAATCACAGTGCAAATACAGCTGGTCTTATTTGAAGCTTTTAGAGGTTGGTTCTAAAACAATTCTTCATGCTTTGAACGTCGCACGTGACTTTATTCAATTCATCGTTTGAAAAGGTAAAAAATAAAATTAAATAAATCAAAACTAAAGATCTACTCAGACAAGTGGACAAGCACTTTAACAAACAAATACGCAATAAGGGAATGAATGAGATATGTGGCTTAGAGGCCCCTAGTGACACAGGAGGGGTGCAGAAATCTACAGCTCAAATGAGAGAATCCATTCACAGGAAAACATTTAGCTGTGCACTGTTTAAGTCTGGTCTTTATTCTGGAGTGACAAGAAAACAGCCATACCAAGCTCCTTCTAAGGTTTGCCACAAACTAGTGCATTGGTCAGACAAATCTAGTATAAGTCATTTTGTAGCAACAAACACCCTGAACATAACATCCCATGGTGAAGCATGGCAGTATAACAATACTGTGGTTTGCCACGATCTTCAGAGTTGAGTGATAAATAGATGGCGCTAAAAGCAATAAGACACAACAAGCTTTTTCAGTCTGGATGGATGTTAACACATTTAAAAAGCCCTCCCGTTGGGGTTTTGAAATGAAGAAGTGGTAGTACTGCAAATAAAATTAGCCAAAAAATTAAGAAGTTTAATACAATCAGGATGTTCCATTTATGAAACTTTATGTAAAATACGCAAAAGACGAAGCTTCGCAAGTGCTAAAAACACTTATTTCAGAAAGATTGCACTCATGCTAACTTTGGCTTCCCAAGTAACAGTTCATCTCCAACCAGACGAAACACAGTGACCGTTTTGTTTTTTTTTTCGTTTATTATTTTGCAAAAAGGCAACACAATCTGACCGTAAAGAAACTGGGGGTGATTATTACACCTAGCAAGCTGTAGCTCATTAAAAGCTAAAAAGAGCTTGCAACCGATGCTGCAATATCTTCTGATTTCAGTATGTGGGTGTTTCAAAAGGAAGCAAATATCTTTGGGAGGTGAAACAGAGTACAAGTCATGCTAGTGGAATTCTTTGATTTATTTATTATTTTATTTTATTTTTACTGTGCTTTGAAACAACAGGTTCCCTTGTTTTGCCTCTATCATATCATGGAAAGGAGCAATAAGAATGACACAAGCTAAAATGGTTCAGATCTGAAAGTGGGTAAACAGCTTTTCATTCCCGCTTTAATCAACAAAATACAGTTTGTGTTCACTCACTTTGTTCACTCTCTCTTTTTATTCTTATTATTTAAAAAGCAAGATAGCAGAAATCAAATAATTTTATGAACAATATCATGAATCCTGCTATTTCAGTGCAAATGTTTTAGAGGAGAAGATAATCACCCCCTTCTGAGATAGCAATAGTAATGAGTCTCCACGGAATAAAACTGAAAGAAATTTGTGTCACACCAGCCGCACTTTTATTTAGCAAAATGTGTTTTGTTTGTTTGTTTGTTGTATTCTGGACATTTCATAAAATAAAATATTAAGTTGCTGATGCTTCTGCTGTACAGAATACTATAGGTGCATCGCAATATATTAGAAAATCAAATATGGAGTTTAATTCGAAAACAGAGCTTACAAATGGGTCTCATTGTGCACATTGAGATTTATTCCAAACTCTCATCTCACAAAACTCAGTTTCCAGTAAACTATTTTTCTACTTTGATTTATTTGGTTATTGTACATTGAAACGCAAGCTTTTCTGCGTTGCATAATTTTTTTAATTGAATAAATAAATCATCAATTATATTCCAATTTACTGAGGTGCACCTATCTTTCAAAATATTGTGTTTTTTTATTCAGTTAGACATCTTATTGGAATACAATAATATCAGCAGCAAACTGTAAGTAGAAGTACACTTCTCAGTGACATTGGTTGGTTTGATTTGTCCCTGTGTCTCTGAAAAACCTCAGACACAAAGGGAAAAGACTGAAAGATGTTGAAAGTTAAAGGGAACAACTTTGCTTTCTTTCCGAAAACTTGGCAGGATTTTGTGTGTATGCACTCAAACTTTGGTGAAAAATGTTCAGGGTCAGTTCAAGGAACTGTGACTGAACGGGGGACCCAGTGTTATTCTTCTCACACTGGAGTATGAGTGAGAATCTATGTGATGCACCAAAACAAGTCCGGGCCCTCTGCCTGTACATCAATAAGAAACACCACAGGAGATTTTTAAGGGTCCTTCGATTCGGAATGTTTTTAGAATTTTTGAGGATTTTCTGCTTTTTGCAGTGAAGTATATCAGTAAGTTTGTTGGGAAAGGGTTTAACTACAATTTAGGAGATATGTGTTCATGTTTAAAATTTTCAGCTTAAAACTGAACCAACTACAGAGAGCTATTTTGAACACTAGGAACAAATAAAGGTTTTCTATCTATCTATCTATCTATCTATCTATCTATCTATCTATCTATCTATCTATCTATCTATCTATCTATCTATCTATCTATCTATCTATCTATCTATCTATCTATCTATCTATCTATCTATCTATCTATCTATCTATCTATCTATCTATCTATCTATCTATCTATCTATCTATCTATCTATCTATCTACCTGGGGTAAACAAGTTGGCAATGCCATCTATTGGCAATGCTGCAATCAAACTCACCCTATACTTAATTCCAGGATTCAGAATTTTTATAAATCATGTTTTTGACATTTGGTAATGAGCATCAAGTATTAAACATTTTATTGCAGTGTTACTCCCACTTGGGTATAGTGTCCATATAGTTATGAGGGGCTTTGGAGGAGGCTATTAATAAAATCAGAAAAAGCTTAGAGCTTGCAAAACTTTTTCACATTAAGTTGAATAATTATTTTAGACCATTAAAAAACAGTTTTTTGAATAAACCTGTTCAAAGTTGTTCATTCTTGAACCATGTGACAATGAAGATGGTATTTCACATTACTATTTATTATTTTCATTTCTTTCCCAACATTTTTTTTTTCAGTCAACAGCAGTAAAATAATTTTGATGATTCCGTTTCTCTCTCTCCCAGCTACGACAAAGAGTCGCGCACACTCAGCTCGGTCGTACAGGCTCCTTTGCAGAAGGAGGGGGAGACAAACGCTGTGATGCAAGTGAGCAAGCATCAGTCCATGGTCGTCTGTTTTTCCCTTTCCCGTCCCGACACCTGATGCCTTACTGTTCAAACACAGGTGTCTGGCAAACTTTAGATCAAAGCCCAAAAGAACGGACCACTGAGAGGTGAGGACGGTAAGGCACAACAGAGGACACTGGTGAACATTCATCTTTCTCTGGAGATAATTTGTTATGCATTTGTTATAACTATTAAAATCCTCCGCACACTTTTAGTGAAAAATGTTATGGTAATTCTTTTGGTGGCCCCTCTGGCCACTTGTTGCTCTATCCGCTGTGCATCATGTGCATGGGAGGAGCTACTACCCTGCTACTCCCAAAGGGATCCTGACATAACGCACACACCAATCCACATGGTTGGCACACAAATTACAACGTCGATAATGAGATCTGAGCACAGTGCACTTCAAAGACCCGAGGTTTGAAAACCCAGTCGCAGCAGTGACAGTTTGACAGATTGCAACATGGTGTGTGGTGGTGTATGTGTCATTGTGTTTGTCAGAGAAAATGTACTAGAGAGACAAACAGAGTGAAAAGATACATTTGTGAATGTGATGACATGGCTGAAGACACTATTGAGCATGCAAGTGAGGACTGTCACTGTCCAGCGTTTGGCCTGCTGCGTTTTCAGATCACCGTCTGGTGTTGGCAGGGAGTTTTCCAGCAGCCCTCTAAGACAACAAGAAGTGTAAGAAATAAA